TTTCATGAAAATATTACGGGAGAGAGGGAAGATACCATTGGGACACCTTTCATTTGACGATAGAAATGCGTTTTGAATGAAAAGTATGTATTAGACATGCAGTGTCTTTTAAGAGATAATGTGTCTTGGGGAATTTGATGTTTGCATATATAAATAAACGAAAAAAAGTTATTCTTTATAAAATGTCGTGCATGGTCTAAAACCTAAATTAATTACTATTTAACTGGGAATAAGCCACAATTAAAGATATTAATAAAATATCTTTAATTGTGGCTTATTCCCAGTTAAATAGTAATTAATTTAAAATGCCACAAGAAAATAGCTTCAGAACAATGTCTAAAACCTAAGATGCAAGCTTGCATCAGATATAAAATTGTGTCAATATTATACGAGGTATGTAAAAGAGTATGAAGATTATTTCGCTCAAGAGTAAAGTAAATTTATATTTCATAATATCGAAAATTGTTATTATTAAAAGTTGTTTGGAAATAAAAACTTTGTTTTAATTACTAGTCCAGTCGTCAGAGAATTGGCCCATAAAAATCATAAGAACAAGCTGAATTCTACAGAGAATATTCATTTTCTTACCCTAAAGGAGATGTAAAACAGTTTACCACTTTTACCCCCGGGCTTCCTCCTCAAACACCCCTCGCAGGAGGGGTAAAAACGCAAAAAAATCGATTTACCAAGAAACTGTACACCGTAGTTTCAAATAAAAAATGTAGCTGAAATAATTCTAAACAAAAATATTTATGAGCTTTTTTTGGGTAGAATAATCCGTTCTTCTAGATAAAACGCTTGAAGCGACCGTCGATTTTGTATGTCAGTTAAGTGCGCAAAATCAATATTCAATAAAATTTATATCAGCTGGACGGTAAACATTCGGTAATTTGAAAAAATATTTAAAAACTTTTTTTCAATTAGAAGGATGTAACTGCATATTAAAACATAGTTTTTAATTCTAAACAACTTTTTATAATAAAATTTTTCGATATTGTAATATATCGAACTCCTTGTCACCGTTGCTGTTCAATTTTGCTTTAGAATGTGCAACAAGTAAAATATCGTCTGAGCTGACAGGAAGATTTGCTGATCAAGGATCAAACATAGTTAGACATATCAAGGCAAACCGACTAAGATGGACAGGTCACGTGGTACGATCAGAGGATGACATAATGTTAAAGACAGTGTTTTTGAAAGACCAGATGGTAGAACATCAGTAGGCCGACCGAGAAAAAGATGGAAGGATGATGTTGAAGCCGATTTATCTAGAACTGGTGTACAGCAATGGGAAATAGAAGCGCAAGATCGTAGAGGATGGAGGGCGATAGTGGATGCGGCGAAGACTCATTTCGAGTTGTCAAGTCAGTGAAGAAGAAAAAGAAAATATTGTAAAATATAAAGGTACTTTACTCTTGAGCGAAATCTTTAATTTTTAACATACATCGTATATTGTTAAAATAATTTGATATCTGATAGTTGCATCTTAGGTTTTAGATCATGCAGATTCTGAAGAATAACTTTTTTGGGTAAAATGAATAATAAAAAAGTTTCTCATAGTTGAAATTCTTACAATAATTAAATTATATTAACAAAATTTGGTACCTTTCTCTCACTGAATGCCTAAATGAAACGGTTTTCCAAAATAAACGGTTTAATCACCACTCAATTTCTTCGTTATCAGCCTCGATTATAGACTTCCAGGCAGTGAATGAAAGGATATGCAAACTAAGAATTCGCACCCACTTCTTCAACCTTACTATGATAAACATCTACTGCCCAACAGATGAACAAGAGCAACATACAAAGGAAAGCTTCTACCAACAGCTGGAGATAGTATATGACAATGAGGCCAAGGCTCATTTTGGGCTGTAGTGCCGTAGAAGTAGTAGTAGCCTCGATTATCCTTCTTTTTGTGAAATTGCTTCTCCAAATACACCACAATGTTTTAATTATCAGCTTCTACCATTTTAAAATATTTTTCTTCTCAATAGCACTTATAAATCGGCAAAATATTCTTCTTTATTTATAGCTTTTTTGTTTATTCTTCTTTCTAATAATCTTATTTTTTCTTCTTCCAATCTCCAATCACCATATAAATATTATAATTTTAATTTCTTCTAATCTCTTCTTCTTCTTCTTTCGTTTTATGGCCTCCACCTCTTAGGTACGTGGCCAGCTCATGTATATATTTTTATTTCAATTATAGAAGGGAATTCTCCTCACAGAGATTCTGGAAATAACCATATTCCCTTCAACTATTTTGGACAATTTATAGTGGATATTCTAAAATAATTCTATATATCATTAATGATATAGATTTTTCTTGTTCCATCTATTGTGGAATTGTGGAAAATATTTTGTACTGAAATGGGCGTTGGGCATTCATCTTTAATAAGTTTTTGATACAAATCAAATAGTGGTGTCTTATTAATAGGACACTCTTGCAAGATGTTTATTATACTTCCTATTTGACCACACTCACAAAAAGGGGAATTAATACAGTTAATTTTAAATAGATGATCTGACGCCAAACAATGTCCTGTTCGTAACCTAATAATTGTTGTCAGGTGTCTACGGTCTACAAAGTCAAACGGTTTTATAGAGAATTCGCTTTGACATTGTTGATACCACTTTCCCTTTTGTTTAAACTGTTTAAGCCAATCAAGTTTAAATTCATTTATTAGTGTTTAAGTAAGAAATGAAAGATTTTATTTTTTTATGTTAGCTAGGATGTTTAGGGTTCTACCTATATTCGCCAATTGATCTGCCACAATATTCCCTTTTACTCCTGAGTGGCCTGGAATCTAGGTTATAATAATATCAAGTCCTGCTTCATTTGCCTCAAGTATTAATCTTTTAGTTAAATTTACAATGTGGTTATTTGTTCCCCAACAGGTACTTTGTAATTTTTGGATTGCACTTTTTGCATCAGAGAATATTATTGCTTTTTTAATATTTTTTTCTAAGCAAACTTCTACTGCCTTATTAATGGCAATAATTTCAGCAGTGCATATTTGTATGTGATCATGTAGTCTAGATGCATAGTTATAATTTATTGATGGAATGTGAACTCCAAACCCTACTGCCCTTGAACTGGGTTCTAATGACCCATCTGTAAATATCCAAGTGAATTCTTCATAGATGGTTGAGAATTACATAAGAAATTGTTGATTACTATATGTTTCTCCTTTTTTGTTTTTCTTCTAATCTCCATATACATAATATAATTTTTAACCTCTAACTAATACTCTCTTAATACTATTTTTTTAATCTCCATGTAATATACTTTCCAAAATATTATAAAACTTTCATACTAAATGACTGTCTTCTGTATACTGACTTGACCAACAAATAATACTGTTCGTTATATTAATACACTAATACTGACCATACTGACTAATCTCTTCTCCTTTAAATCACAGAGTATTTATATCATTTCAATGTTCAAGAATATTCTTGAAGGAAATCATATTCGAATCCTTTTATTTCATAGATATTTGAATGTTCGCGAAGATGATTCTACTACGCAAATAAGGATAACTTCCTTTTATTGACGTCTTATTTCAATGTTGTAGATAATTCTTAACTTTTCTATGGAAAATTTTATGGAAATTTAGGCTTTAGATCAGAATGTAAACTTCAATTACTTAAATTAATAAATAACACTATTTTAAATCCGTAATTATCATTTTAAATGTCTACTTTCTGTTGAAATTCACTCTTATTTACAAAAATCATAATAACCCAAACTCACGTCAGTCTATATTTGGTTGCATATTTATATGGCGCACTCAATATATTTATTATTAAAATAACCAAATAAATTGCAACATAAAAAACTTTTTTTAAGTAAATTTGGTTGCCTATTTAGATGGTGCACTTAAATATATCTATAATATCATAATTATTAAAATAACCAAATACATTGCAAAATATAAACTTTTTGAACTTATTATTATGCTAATTTCTTAAGAATACCCTCATATAAATACTTTTTATAATATGCTCTAGTATATAACTTATAAATTATTTCTTTAATCTCTATGTAAGTTCAATTTAGATTACCTTCGTTTCTCCTATATTTAATATTATCTCAATATATATATATATATATATATATATATATATACTTCTGACCACATGGTCACTCACTGTGCTAATTTTTTAATAAGTCACTAAATGTTGTTAGTAAATTAAATGTTTATACATTTCTACTTTATATTGTCCATTTATTCAAGTTTAATTCATAAGCTTGTTAACATCTTTGACTGCTACATGTCTTTTTAAGGTAACACCTGTAACATCTTTTCCATGATTGTGTGGTTCTTATATTATACTTTTTAGAATGAACTGATGATGCTTTCAGAATACGAAAGCGAAACGTTTTCAAAATAGATAGAGTGGCACATCAACTTTGTCTTTCATTTCTCCACCTACAAATTGACCGATATAAGAGCCCACCACTCTGTTGAGTGATCCTTTTATATATATATATATATATATATATATATATATATATATATATATATATATATATATATGTATATATATATATATATATATATATATATATATATATATACTTACTTTCACATCTAGGATATTTGTGGTACCATGTTTTTATCAAAACGTGATCAATTTTGGGCGATTGTTTGGTCAGGCATACGCCTTTGTTTATATTTAAATAGACAAATAATGTCTAGCTTATAATTATATTGTAATATATTGTCCAAAAGATTCCCCATTTCTTAGGTGTTTTGATGGAATGGGCGTTTGTCAAATGTTGCTAAAAGATGAGATTATAAGAGAAATGATTAGAAAATATTGATAATAATAATTAAATTACTGGACAACTTGGTTAAAGAAAGGAAGGCAAAATTGATTTAGTAATTTTATGATAGTAATATGTATCTTCACATTAATAATATTTTATTATAATTTTATAAATATAATCATAACGAGCAACATCAAATATTTTTATTTTTCTAATTTTTCAGACAGACCTTTATTAAGGAGGTGGCCAGCTGCTTATGCCGATGGTACTTACTTACCATCAGGATCTGACAGACCTAATCCTTTGGTGCTGAGTGATCAGTTACTCAGTGGACCTATTGGACTGACTTCAAACGTTGGAAAGAATGCCTTACTAGTATTCTTCGGTAAGCAACATATTAAGCTCTTTATGTCCTATGACCTTACCACTAGACGAATTTTTATTATTTTTAATTATTTTATGTATACATACGGTAGGTATTACTAGCTATAATTATTTTAGCAAAAATGATTACACTTATCAGTCATTTACTACAAACGTTATTATATCCCTTCAGTATTATACATAGACAATGAGATGCGCTCTCAACGGTACTATTTATTCTATCACTAGACAAGATAATAAAAAAACTCTCAAACGCAGGAACTATAAACAAGAATGAAGTATAAATAATAGGATATGCGGACAATACAACCATAGTAGCAGCAGATAAAAGGGCATAAAAGTTAAAACTTCCAAAAAATAGAAAACGAAACCAACATGAGAGGACTGAACATAAATGAAAATAAAACAGAATACATGAACGTAAGCAAGAAAAAGAAGACACAAATGACAGAACTGGCAATAGACACACACAGAAGTGTGCACATTCAAATATTTGGGAGCACTAGTCAACCGAAGAAATGAAATTGTAGATATGAAAAGAAGAATTCAAGTGAGAAATACAACGTTTTAAAGAAATAAAAAATATTTAGAGATAAAAGAATAAGCCGAATCACAAAAATGAAAATGTACAAAACGACCATAAGACCAATAGTAGTATATGCTGCAGAAACATTTACATTAACAGCAAGAGAAGAAGAGCAATTACAAGTTTTTGAGAGGAAGATTATCAGAAAAATACTGGAACCAAAGAGGAAAAACGAAGAGGAAGAAGAGCAATTGAAAGTTTTTGAGAGGAAGATTATCAGAAAAATACTGGGATTAAAGAGAGAAAACGAAGAGGATGTAATAATTAATGGCATCGATACATAATGAGAAGAAAGAAGAGCAATCCGTTAAGAATGGATACCACCAGGTAAAAGAATCAGTAGCAGACCTAAACTGAGATGGAGACAAGTGGAAGAAGACTTAAGGAGTATGGAAATTAGAAATATAGAAAGGACAATCAAAGAGAGAGAAGAATGGAGAAAAGTAGTAAAAACAGCGAAGTCACACCAGAAACTGTAGAAAACAAACCCAGAGTGGGATCCACACAAAAAGGATCTTTAAATGAAAACAACTTTAGCTTCTTCAAGAGCGTATATATATATATATATATATATATATATATATATATATATATATATATATCTGACTTACCAAAACGTAAAACGGGACACAGACATTAACGAACTGACAAATAACAGTTGGTATCTGATAGCTCATTGTTTACTGTCATTAGTATATAATAATTTTTATATCGGCGTATTATTGATGTTTTCGAGAAAGGTGAGGTGGAGATATGTTATGACTGTAAGAGCTTTTTATAATGTTATATTATCATTGTTTAAATCAGGTTGAACTATATTTTGTTTAAGTGTTGTTGATTGAATTGAACTATATTTTGTTGTGTATCTTTTGATCATTTATTGCGTTGTTATTTCTTTTTATTCAATCTAATCAATAGAAATAAAAAGAAATACCAACGCAGTAAATGACAAAAAAGATACACAAAACTTAAATAAAATATATTTCAATCTGATTTAAACAATAATAATATACTTCTTCTTTCTGTGCCGTCTTCTACCGAAGGTTGGCGACCATCATACGATAGGTTTCTCTGTTTTGTGCCGCATGAATTATGTTCGCAGCTTCTGGTATTTGAAACCATTCTCTCAAGTTTCTCAGCCAGGATTTCTTCTTTCTGCCCAAACCTCTTCTACCTTCAATCTTGCCTTCCACGATAAGCTGTGGCAGACTGTACTTATCATTACGGAACACATGGCCCAGGTATGACGCTTTCCTCCTTTTAACAGTTGTTAACAATTCCACCTCTTTACCCATTCGTCTTAATACCTCTGTGTTGGTCACTCTGTCTGTCCAAGGTATTCTCAGTATGCGTCGATACATCCACATTTCTAGAGCCACTAACTTCTTTATAGTTGCTGCTGTTAACGTCCACCCTTCTACGCCGTAAAGTAGCGTAGAGAGTACGTAGCATTTCGTGGCGCGCCATCGGAGGTTAATGCTTAGGTTGCGGTTGCTTAAGAGCTTTCTCATTTTGATGAATTTGGATCTTGCTATTTATTAATAATATAACATTATAAAAAGCTCTTAAAGTCATAACATATCTTCGCCTTACCTTTTTCGAAAACATCAATGATACGCCCATATAAAAATAATTATATACTAATGACAGTAAACAATAAGATATCAACTTTTATTTGTCAGTTCGGTAATGTCTGTGTCCCGTTTTACGTTTTGGTAAGTCATATATATATATATATATATATATATATATATATATATATATATATATACAATACAGGGTGATTGATTAGTGTGAGGAAGCTCATTAGATCTGTTATAGTAAAAATTACTAAAAAAAGTTATTAACAAAAATTGTAGGCAGCTTTAAACTCCACATTTTAAAATTAGTTACAATCTTACAGGGTGTTCCATAAGATGGTGGCGGACCAAACTTATGTTTTTTTAAATGGAACACCCTGTATTTTATTTTAAATTTAAAATCGGCTTCACTTCCACATCACAACAATGTAAAGTTTTATTATGTTATACCGGGTATCTAAAAAGTTATAACCAATATTACCTGAAAATCGTATCAAGTTTAACTCCCTGTGCAATTAAAAAGGAGTATAGGAACATTGATCTATTGCAACCATAGTTTTTAAATAATTGTTAAAAATTATAAAACATATTCGTTTCCATAATATTCGTTAAATCAAATACAGGGTCAATCAAGTCAAAATGCAAATACATTATTTTCTTGGTAATTTTAAATAGAACACCCTGTATTTTATATCACTATCAAAAAGTAATAATATCGTACTTCAAATTTTATAAAGTACTCCCTATACCTAAAGTTATCAGTTTTCTAGATATTATTGTTTTTTCATCAAAGTATTAATTTGGTAGATATTTTAACGTTTACCAACTCACAATATAATTATTGTGAGTTGGTTATGATTGATTTGTCAAAAACTGACAGTTTGACATTATTGTTTAATAATTTAGTAACGAAATAACGACACAGAAAAGAAAACAATTTATTTAAAATAAAATGTATAAAAAATAACCTACGGAAAATAAAAAAAAATATAACAACACATAGAAAAATTAAAAACAACAGTAAGTTTAACTTATCTTACTTAAGTAAGGTGTTCAAAATGACCTCCCAAAACATCTATGCATGCTTAAAAACGGCCATTGAAAGAGTTGGTTACAATACTAAGCATTTGTAAAGAAATATTTTGAAATGCAATTCGGATTCTATTTTTCATATCATCCCTTGTTGTTGGGGGTATTTTATATACTTCGTTCTTAACGTAACCCCAAAAAAATGAGTCCATTTTATTGAATTCTGGTGACCTTGGAGGCCACCTTACCGGTCCATCCCTTCCGATCCATCTTTCCCCAAACTGATTATTAAGTTCACCACGTACTAATTCGTTGTGGTGCGCAGGAGCACCGTCATGTAGAAACCACATTTTTTCACGTTTTCACTCTTCTAATAATATCGGTAACTGATTTACGATAAAATCTAAATAAATCTCACCATTTAAATTATCTTCAAAAAAATATGGTCCTACTACATACATGGTTACCGACGATACCTCCCCACACATTTAGAGACCATCTTGTTTGACTATGTGTTACTATGTGGTATGGATTACTTGTTGAGTAGCAGTGAAAGTTATGCCTATTAAAAGAACCGTTTCGATGGAATGTAGCTTCATCACCAAATAGGACATAATCAAAAAAATCTCTCTGCTCATTAATTTTTTCTAAGGCCCATTCACAAAATACTATTCGTTTCTGAAAATCATCATTAATTAATTCTTGGTGCTTTTGAATATGATAAGGGTGCATCTTGTTTTTAGATAGAATGTTTTGAACAGAGTAGTAACTAAGTTATTGTTCATTGGAAATAGTCCTTATGCTTGTGTGTGGGTTTTCTGTAACCGCCATCAACACACTCATTTCGTTTTCCTCTGTCACACTAGTTTTTGTTCGTTCATGTTTTTCATAATTCACTGAACCAGTGCGGTTAAATCGATCTTTCAATTTTTCAAATGTATCTTGTCTAGGTTGTCGCCTATCTGGAAACTGTTCTTGATAAATTCTAGCTGATAGTAATGAATTTTTATTGCATTCCCCCAATATCCAGATCATATCTACCATTTCATCAGTAGTAAAATTCATTATTGCTAATTTAAATTGAATCAATAACTGAATTACTAAATAATAACTGTTGCTAATTTACGGTGTACCCCAATACTGAATTAATAAATATTAATGTCAAACTGTCAGTTTCTGACAAATCAATCATGGCCAACTCACAATAATTATTGGTAAACGTTAGAATATCTACCAAATTAATACTTTGATGGAAAAATAAAAATATCTTTAAAACTAATAACTTTAGGTATAGGGAGTACTTTATAAAATATGAAGTACGATATTAGTTCTTTTTGATAGTGATATAAAATACAGGGTGTTCTATTTAAAATTACCAAGAAAATAATGTACTTGCATTTTGACTTACCCTGTATTTGATTTAACGAATATTATGAAAATTAATATGTTTTATAGTTTTCAACAATTATTAAAAAACTATGGTTGCAATAGATCAATGTTCCTACAATCCTTTTTAATTATACGGGGAGTTAAACTTAATACGATTTTCAGGTAATATTGGTTATAACTTTTTAAATACCCGGTATAACATAATAAAACTTTACATTGTTGTAATGTGGAAGTGAAGCAGATTTCAAATTTAAAATAAAATACAGGGTGTTTCATTTAAAAAAACATAAGTTTGGTCTGCCACCATCTTATGGAACACCCTGTAGGATTGTAACTAATTTTAAAATATGGAGTTTACAGCTGCCTACAATTTTTGTTAATAACTTTTTTTGTAATTTTTACTATAACAGATCTACTGAGCTTCCTCACACTAATCAATCACCCTGTATATATACATATTTTACAATATATGTTCGTCCTTATACATGTTCATTTTAAAATCTTGACAAAGGCAAGGGTTTCCTGCCGAAACGTTGATTGCTATGGAAAACAAAATCATCTAGTTCTTCATGTAATATATCTTTATTGAACCTAAACCCAAGAAACAATAATTTTATATTATATTATATATATATATATATATATATATATATATATATATATATATATATATATATATATATATATATATATATACATACATATATATTGGATTTGAAATTTCCGCGCGAGCTATATGTGATTTCAGATGTTTTCCGGGTTTGACTCCGCGTTAAATCACATTTGTCACACTTGCCATTGTCAAGTCAGATTAGTTCTGCTTCGTCTTGATGTTTCAGGAGAACCGATGTTCTCCTGAAACATCCTAAAATGATGGTATTTTAGATTTAATTATTTTTAAATTTAGCAAAATAAAAAAATATACACATTACTATAATCCACCGATTATTATATGCAAACTTTACTTACCAAACAATATAATAATATGAAAATAAGGCACAAATTAGTTCAAATGCAAAACACAAGAAATATCGACTTCAGACGACTTTACACCGGCAAGACAGAAGGTTTGTATAAAAACAAAAGTTCGACAATAATATCGGTTATCAATGGTGACGATTACAAATTGCAAGGTATGAGATATTAAATATATTTTAATGTAACTCAATGCTGACTGAGTCATCTATTTTATAGTAAAAAAAAATAATTTAGATATATGCTGATATAAGTTGACTTTATCACTATTTATTTTGATTTTGTGTTTAGTTCAGTATATACGTACAAATTTTGTGTACCATTATTACCACTTATTTGTATCTTTTTAAACATCTGAAATATCAAACTCTGGAATATAAGTTAATTAACCTGTACCTACGTGTAATAAAAGATAATTAAAACTTGTTTTATAAAGGATATCTATGTTAACAAAATAACTACCAAAAATCAATAAATTTAAATTAACTTTTTAAAATTTTATTTATGATATTAAATATTATAACATAATTTTATCATCTCTTTATAATTACTATAATTAAATTAGCCAAATTATATAAAAAACTTAAAATTAAAAGTCTTTCCTATACAACTACATTCAAATGTTGCGTGAAGAAGCGGTCTTGACTACGTCATGCACGACGCGAACCGATTTTGGAACATCATGTATCATACCTTGTGTTCATTGTACCATGTTTTTTGACTAATAAATAATTTTCTTTTCTAAATGTGAATTTTTGCATTTTACTTAATATTTCCGAGACAGTCAAGGATTGGACATTGCATTCAAAAATGTATGTACTATATACTATAGATAGATTTACGAGATTAATTACCTTTCTTTCAGATTTGATCTTTTTAATAGGTTTTATACTTACCTATTTGTGAACTTCTTAAAACCGCATCTTCAATATTCTGTATACCCCAGTTTGAAAGTATGAGCGATTTCACGACTAAATTTTCTTTTTAAAGGTCAGCAAGTAGTCGAAGAGATTTTAGATGCTCAAAGGCCTGCATGTCCACCTGAATATTTTAATATAGACATCCCAGACAATCACACATATAAATTAGATCATCCAAAACATTCAAAACTACCTCTGTTAAGAACGAGATACGACATGAGAACTGGATACAGCCCCAACAATCCACGACAACAAGTAAGTACCATAATAGTTACATATTTTGCGTAGTCTAATAAAGAAACACGAAAGTTTTTTCAGCGAAAAAATACTTTCGATGTAGTATTAATTAATAACAAATAACCATTATCTTTACACATTAGTTCTTCTTAGGGCCTCATCATTTGCTACATGGTCCACCCATGGAATTATAAGCAACCTTCTGAGGCACTGGGATTTATGTAACATTTCAATCCCCAGATTCTAAGGGTTAAACGAAATGTACGGCAAAGGAGGTATTTATTAAATTTAGCGAAGGCCTTTCTAGCCATTGCTAATCTTATCTTCACTCTCAGGTCAGAGTTCCACTTGCTATTTAATATATGCCCAAATATGGGTTTTGTCCGCTGTTATGGCCGTATCATCAAAATATTAATAGGAAGACCATTAATGTTGATGCCTTTTTCCTTCTGTTGTGCAAGCTAAAATATATTTTCTACATAAATGTTGAATAGTCGTGGGGAGAGAACACAACCCCGTTCAACGCCTTTACTTATTTTAATTTTTTCTGTGTATAGGTTGTTGGTGATCCCTAGTTCCGCTTTTGATTCTAATATAGTTGTCGAATCATTCTCATCTCTTTCCCATCAAGCTCAATTTCGTTTAACATCAGTTCATGTTGTCAAATATATATAGAACAAAATTATAGAACTAGCAGATTATTTGGGCCGAATAACTACCTAACACTACTAACCTAGGGAATCACAAGATAAAATATTAATGGATAATATATGTATACGTTGTAATATTTTTTTAGTTAAATGAAATTACACCATATATAGATGGAGGCCTTCATTATGGTATCACAAAACAATGGTCAGATCAGCTACGAACATACTCGAATGGGACGGTAGATCCTAGGGGACGTTTAGCTTCCTCACATGATGGATTATTCCCAGAATATAATACCAATAGACTACCTATGGCGAATCCACCACCTCCATTTCATCACGCCTTGTATGTTCAGCAACATGAAACTGCCAAAGTTTCCAGGTTTTTTAGTAAGTAAACAAAACATGGATAATATTAAATTATATAACATTAACTATTTTAGAGTTGGGAAATCCCCGAGGAAACGAAAATGCGTACCTTCTAACTTTTGGAATTATGTGGTTTCGATGGCATAATTATTTGGCGGAGCGCATATACCATCATCACAGCGATTGGTCTTCCGAAAAAATATTCAACGAAGCTCGAAAGTGGGTAGTAGCCACGCAACAACGCATTTACTTGTATGAGTGGTTACCCACATTGCTAAATGAAAACCAAGCTTTGAGTAACTATACTAAATATGATGCCAGTATAGATCCACAAATAGACCAGTTTTTCCAGAGTGCAGCTTTCCGATTTGGACATACATTGGTATATAAGATTTATATTTTTAATTATATATATTAGCTAATATAAATACTATTACAGGAATTAACAATAAACATTAAACTCAACAGTCTTCTGGATTGAACCAGTAATGCATTGGTTAGTGATCAGTGTAGTAGTCTCGTTGGGCTCGGGAGACTGAGACCTCGTAAGCCCTGAAGAAGACATCGAAGAGGACGTCGAAAGCTCGGCGCAATGATAATCAACGCAGTTCAACCCAAAAGACTGTTAACTTTAATATTAATTCCTGTAATAGTATGAGTCTTGGGTCTAGATATATATATATATATATATATATATATATATATATATATATATATATATATATATATATATATATATATATATATATATATATATATAAATTAGTTGGCCATTTAATACATACAGCGATAGCGGCTTTCGCTAAAAGATTTAATTCTTACACATTTCGCATAGCATAAAGGATACAGAAAACGATTATTCATATCGTTTCGTTCACGGCCTTCAAAATAGAGGGCGCCTTTATAAGCTAACTACACGGTAGTGAAGATTGGGAGACATTCGTTTTACTTTCCGTGTTTGAATTTGTATCAGCCCAAGTGTCTGACGATGGCTGGGATAGGCCGAAATGATCATAACACTTTAGTGATACCAATTCGAGCACGGGAAGTTTAACGAATTTGTCTCCTAGGCCATATAGTTGGCCATTTAATACATACAGCGATAGCGGCTTTCGCTAAAAGATTTAATTCTTACACATTTCGCATAGCATAAAGGATACAGAAAACGATTATTCATATCGTTTCGTTCACGGCCTTCAAAATAGAGGGCGCCTTTATAAGCTAACTACACGGTAGTGAAGATTGGGAGACATTCGTTTTACTTTCCGTGTTTGAATTTGTATCAGCCCAAGTGTCTGACGATGGCTGGGATAGGCCGAAATGATCATAACACTTTAGTGATACCAATTCGAGCACGGGAAGTTTAACGAATTTGTCTCCTAGGCCATATAGTTGGCCATTTAATACATACAGCGATAGCGGCTTTCGCTAAAAGATTTAATTCTTACACATTTCGCATAGCATAAAGGATACAGAAAACGATTATTCATATCGTTTCGTTCACGGCCTTCAAAATAGAGGGCGCCTTTATAAGCTAACTACACGGTAGTGAAGATTGGGAGACATTCGTTTTACTTTCCGTGTTTGAATTTGTATCAGCCCAAGTGTCTGACGATGGCTGGGATAGGCCGAAATGATCATAACACTTTAGTGATACCAATTCGAGCACGGGAAGTTTAACGAATTTGTCTCCTAGGCCATATAGTTGGCCATTTAATACATACAGCGATAGCGGCTTTCGCTAAAAGATTTAATTCTTACACATTTCGCATAGCATAAAGGATACAGAAAACGATTATTCATATCGTTTCGTTCACGGCCTTCAAAATAGAGGGCGCCTTTATAAGCTAACTACACGGTAGTGAAGATTGGGAGACATTCGTTTTACTTTCCGTGTTTGAATTTGTATCAGCCCAAGTGTCTGACGATGGCTGGGATAGGCCGAAATGATCATAACACTTTAGTGATACCAATTCGAGCACGGGAAGTTTAACGAATTTGTCTCCTAGGCCATATAGTTGGCCATTTAATACATACAGCGATAGCGGCTTTCGCTAAAAGATTTAATTCTTACACATTTCGCATAGCATAAAGGATACAGAAAACGATTATTCATATCGTTTCGTTCACGGCCTTCAAAATAGAGGGCGCCTTTATAAGCTAACTACACGGTAGTGAAGATTGGGAGACATTCGTTTTACTTTCCGTGTTTGAATTTGTATCAGCCCAAGTGTCTGACAATGGCTGGGATAGGCCGAAATGATCATAACACTTTAGTGATACCAATTCGAGCACGGGAAGTTTAACGAATTTGTCTCCTAGGCCATATAGTTGGCCATTTAATACATACAGCGATAGCGGCTTTCGCTAAAAGATTTAATTCTTACACATTTCGCATAGCATAAAGGATACAGAAAACGATTATTCATATCGTTTCGTTCACGGCCTTCAAAATAGAGGGCGCCTTTATAAGCTAACTACACGGTAGTGAAGATTGGGAGACATTCGTTTTACTTTCCGTGTTTGAATTTGTATCAGCCCAAGTGTCTGACGATGGCTGGGATAGGCCGAAATGATCATAACACTTTAGTGATACCAATTCGAGCACGGGAAGTTTAACGAATTTGTCTCCTAGGCCATATAGTTGGCCATTTAATACATACAGCGATAGCGGCTTTCGCTAAAAGATTTAATTCTTACACATTTCGCATAGCATAAAGGATACAGAAAACGATTATTCATATCGTTTCGTTCACGGCCTTCAAAATAGAGGGCGCCTTTATAAGCTAACTACACGGTAGTGAAGATTGGGAGACATTCGTTTTACTTTCCGTGTTTGAATTTGTATCAGCCCAAGTGTCTGACGATGGCTGGGATAGGCCGAAATGATCATAACACTTTAGTGATACCAATTCGAGCACGGGAAGTTTAACGAATTTGTCTCCTAGGCCATATAGTTGGCCATTTAATATATATATATATATATATATATATATATATATATATATATATATATATATATATATATAATGACGTCTCTTATGGCAGTAATAAAAACGTCAAAAGCTAAATAAGGCTTTACGTATTTTGACAGTGGCGTAACAAACCATTAAAACCTTCTCGATAAAACTATTTTAGAATTCCGTGGAACTCTCGTGCCCTCGGAACAGTCGTAAATCTTTTGCGGATCGCCTAGTAAATTTGATCAAGGACGTAGAAAGGGCTAAAATAAAATTAATTCTCGAAGGGAAGGTATTTTTGTATGTATCGCGGACTGCAGCAAATTGATTAAACCCAGCCTTAGAGAAATGTTCACCCGGGTAGTACGATTGGGTGTAACAATTCATTGGAGCAAGGTGTGTTAACTCGTGTAAAAACAGGAGTCACCCCACCGTGCTCCAATGCTCAAGACCATCCCTTTCCCCCCTATAGCAATCTGATTCGCTATAGAGGCACAACAATCAGCCAAGTGCTCTTCATGTGGAGGTCCTGGGTAATAGAACCCCAACATGGTTTCCTAATACGATTGTGAAAACTCAGGACAGCGCATCTCCGCTTTATTCCTGTTTATCTTACTGTGGCATATCCGCGAAACTAAATTTGCTTGCTGGGCATCAAGTCCCCGCTCTGAGTCCCGGCTCAGCTCGACGACTTGATGCTCGAGAGTGATGGGCCCTACGTGCCCGGGTTTTTGTGGTTTTTGTTAATTTTTTTGGTGGCCGAAGCCGGTTTTTGTTAGTATTTTTTGATTTTTTTGGTGGCCGAGGCCGGTTTTTTGTGTTTTTTGTGATTTTTTTGGTAGGTAGCCTGTGAAAAGAAAATCATAATTAGTATAAAGTCTATATCATAGCAAAGAAAATAAATAAATATTATACATTACCACAATATAGGCTGTATCCTAGTGCGTGCAACAGGGCCCACTAGTTGGGCGATGGCATATTATGGCGATTTGAGCTACGAACTATCTTCCTAGTGTGTGTGTTTTGATTGTTTTTTCTTCCCACTCTGGTGTTTATAGGTTTTATCCCTCTGGTGGTTTTTTATTTCTCTCTCTGGTTTTGCGTTAATCTAATATCTGTTGTTTAGGTCTTTTGTGCTTCCATCTGTGGAAAGCGTCATACCTCATCATCTCTCTCAGTATGTGACTGGGGTGGTCTTCTAGTTCTGCGAACTTTTTCCTGGCTTTTTCTTTCATGGTATCAGTCACTCTGATTTGCTGAAGTTCTCTGAAAATGAACCTTTCAGCGACGTATCTTGGTACGTTAACTGCTTCCCTTAGGCTTTGGTTGTGTTGAGCCTGTATTTTCTTTTTGGTTGTATTGCATGTGTGTCCCCATGCTAATGATGCGTATGTTAGTATAGGTAGTATTATACTATTTATTAGCGTTATTTTAGTTTTAAGTCGTAGTTTGCTTTTTCTACCTGCTAGACCTCTTATTGCGGCTCTAGCTATGTTAGCTTTTTGTACCGTAGCTTCTACGTGTTTGTTGAATGTTAATCCTTTATCCATTATCACTCCGAGGTATTTCGCTTCGCTTTTCCACTCGATGGGGTTGTCTTGCACAGTTACCTGTTCTTCTGGTCTTTCTCGCCTCTTTTGGAAAAGTACAGCTTGTGTTTTATCTGAATTTATTTTGATTTTCCACTTTAGACTCCATTCTTCAATGTCGTCTAACGCGGTCTGTAGATTGGTGACTGCGATATCTACGTGTCTATGTTTGGCCGCTATTGCTGTATCGTCGGCATATAGACTTAGTAATGTACCTGGTGTTCTAGGTATGTCTGCTGTGTATATCGAGTACAGCAGAGGTGACAATACCGCTCCCTGTGGTACTCCAGCTTCCGGGTTTCCGAGTTCGGATAGGACTTGTCCTATCCGCACTCTGAAACTTCGGTTGCTCAAGTACGAAGAGATCAATCTTGTCATTGCTCCGCTGTACCCGTATTGTCTCATTTTGTATAAAGTCCTTTATGCCAGACTCTATCGAATGCTTTGCTTACATCCAGGAATGCAGCTCCTGTGTACTGTTTGTCATTGAATCCAGCTGCTATGTACTCTGTTAGTCGGAGTACTTGTAGTTCGCTGGAGTGTTCTGACCTGAAGCCAAATTGGGCTTCTGGTATTATATCTAACCTGTCAGTTTCAGCTTTAAGTCTGCTGAGTATTACTCTTTCCACTATTTTGCTGATTGCTGGTAGTAAGCTAATCGGCCTGTAATTTTGCGGGAATGTGCTGTCTTTTCCGGGCTTTGGTAGCATTATGACATGGGCCTCTTTCCATCTATTCGGGAATTTTCTGAACCTTAGCATTGCGTTTACTATGTTGGTTAAGTATACTATAGCTTTCGCTGGTAGATACTTCAGAGCTCTGTTTGTGATCTG